ATTTTATCCTTCTTATGTAAAAGAAATAGTGAATGATTGACTACCCTATTTCCCCTTTAAGTTTCAATCATCTCATCAGACTAAGTATCAACTTTTTTTATTCCCTACATTTTTTAATTTTTTTTATTTTAAGGCCGTAAATCAATCATAAAAATAATTAAATCAGAAATTTCTTTTTTTAACTTAACCGTTATAAAACAAATCAATGGAGAAGGAGGCCGACCCACTTCTAAAAAAAAAATCAGCTAAGCAGGGGCAAAACCGTAAGTGAATCAGCTTAAAGGCGTTTAAATTCTTTCAAAATAATGATCGAATCAGTCCCAAAAGGTGCTTAAAAGCCTAAAAAAATCAACACTCAAAAGTGCCAAAATCGATGTATAAAAGCCTCAAAATGCAACTTAAACCTTAACAAATAAAACTTCAAAATGCAATTTAAACTTTAACAAATAAAACTTCAAAATGACGAATAAGGCTTGAAAATGCAATTTAAACTTTAACAAATAAAGCTTAAAAATGTGGCCCAAACATTACTAAAGAGATCTTCAAGATGCAACCCAAACATATCACTAAGACAGGGCAAAATCAACAGCCCAGATCAGTGTCAAAAACATCTTAAAAAAACAACCAACAAAACACCTCTTAAACAGGGCAAAACTGCAACCCAAATCAACCCAAAAAATGTGTTTTTAAAAGCTCTAAACTGAAGCCAATTCAACCCACAAAACATGTTTTTAAAATGCTCCAAAAGCTTTCAAACCTTCAAAAATAAAAATGACTCGGAGAGACTTCCAAATTTTCCAAATAAAACACTTAAACCTTAGTTTTGCAAAAATAAAACATTGAGACTTTCCTAAGTTTCGAAATAAAACTCTTAAAGTTTCCAGAAGTAAAGTATCGCCACCTTCCAAACCTTCATAAATTGAATATGAGAATTTTCAAATTTTGCAAATGTAAAGCACCAAAGCCATAAACCTTTGTAAAGAGAATATGCAACATCTCAGATTTTCACATAAGTATAACACCAAAGCGTTTATATACTTTCCAAGCTTTGTAAATGTAGCATGTAAAATTTTAAATTTTTGTAAAAGTGAGGCATCACAATTTTTAACTTTCCAAGCTTGCCAAAATATAAACTAGAATGTGGCCTTAATCATGCTTTAAAATTATTCAACTAAGAAGCAAGTAGAGAGAAAATAAAAGCTCCTAAATGTTTTCAGATTTTGCAAATACGCCACCCAAATATTTCAGATTTTTACAAATAAAACACCGAAAGTCTCAAATATTCAAAACTTTCAAGCTTTTATATGGAAAACACTGGATTTACACTCATAAAACTTGATTCTTCTATATTTATATGGCTAATGCTCACATGGACACCACCCAAGTCTTTAGCTTGCATCAAAAGTACTCTTATTTTGAGTTAACAAAGTGGAATACACCTCTCAAGTATAGGCAACGTAGCATATATATATAAAATTACAGCTCAGGTGTTAAATATGTAAATGCATAAGAATGATGCTGCCTATATACAATGATTTAAACAAAATCCATCTCCACATTAACCAGAAAACATGCTCAAAAGGGTGGACTAGAGCAAGAGATTAAAAGCTAAGTGAAGAGGTACATCAGAAAATACCTTCGGGGGGCAATACCAAGCGCCGTAATATTGCCAGACAAAAAATCATCAGAGCATAATTCCCCCAACTACATTTTTATAGATTATGAACCGCAAATGATAAAAACTATTTAATGATCTTGACATTCAAGTGAGATTTGCAGTAAGATTCAAATATCAAAAATGTTTCAAACTTTTAATAGCATCAGACATCTTTTTTTTTTTTTTTTTTTTTTTTTTTTTTAATTTTGGGGGT